ATATAATAATGTTATATGTAACATAATACAATATAATATGGTTGCACTATAATACATTATATTGCATTATACTACATTAGTATAACTACACAGAAAAAAATTTTTCAAATGAACTTATAACATATACTTGGACAGTTCATCCATAGTGGGATGTATTATAAAGACAAAAAAAAGGAAAGAAATCTTAAATTTCCTTCAGCTTTTAAAAAAAAATAATATTGGTATTGTCTGTTGAAACTATTTTATGTATTTTGTAGGATAAAGTAAACACTTAATTGTGTTGTTAGAAACCAAGATTTTTAGTCTAAGAGAAAAGAGAATTGCGTTTAAAATAAGTTAGGGAGCCCTAACCGGTTTGGCTCAGTGGATAGAGCCTGCCGACTCAAGGGTCCCAGGTTCGATTCCAGTCAAGGGCATATACCTTGGTTGTGGGCACATACCCAGTAGGGAGTGTGCTGGAGGCAGCTGGTCGATGTTTCTCTCTCATCGATGTTTCTAACTCTCTATCTCTCCCTTCCTCTCTGTAAAAAAATCAATAAAATAGATTTAAAAAAAATAAAATAAGTTAGGGAAAGTCCAGAAACATTAGACTTGAACTGAAAGCATCACTAGAAAACACCCTGGCAACTGAAAAGGTTTAGAAACAATGACAACCCAGCAGCCATGAGCACCCTGAGAGCCCACATTTTGCCTTTAAATACCATTTTCTACTAAAAAGAACCCAAAGAAATGGCCGATTCCAGGTCTGAGACAAGGAATATAGAAAAGGACCCTGGGACAGTTTCCTGTGCCAGAAAGCAAAACGCTTTCCGGGACTAAATTAATCTCGTCCAAGGACACAGGCGCTGACTGAAGGGAATTCCACGGACGAGAGTTGAGGTGATATGAACATCAAAAAGAACAATGATAGCGATCGACCGAAGAGCACTGGATATAAAGAAAATCCACGCTTTCATAACGATACCCCAAGAAGAGGAAGCAAAACAAACCTGTCAGTGTGACCACGCAAGGCAGCCATCACCGTCACTCCTTACTCTGAAAAGTGGTAACTAAAGAAGGAAAAAGTGCTTACTAGGCCTTTCCTTTAGAAACTGTATTTCAAAGTAACCGCCTAGTCCCAAACAATGAGGGAAAGGACTTCCCTTTAGAAAATTCTCAGCTCATAATTGTAACAGGAATAAGGGTACTTGGAAATGGCCATTTTATTAGAGTAAAAATGAATGAGTTGATCCAGGCAACAAACAGCAACGGATGCTAAAATCATCACAGTAAATGTCACTGCAGAACTGAATGTTCCCAGGCATCATGAAAGGAAAAACACAAGCCCTAAAACTGAGGGATCAGGTGGTCACTGCCTCAACCACCCAATATGATGGAATATGAAGAACACGGTGTGGACAAAAGGGGCCACGTACTGAACCTGACACGCTCGGGGAGGCCTGGGTGGCCTTACAAACTGAGACCTAAACTAGCCACAAAGGACGGCCTGAAATGAAAGCTTTTAAACTACAAATCGTTTATAGTGGGTAGTCACGCCCTGGGCCAGCGTCTTTCCTGACAAAGGTTAATCTTTACCTCAGCTGAGCCTGTCTATTGTCTTTTTGCATCTACGATCACAGACCTTGGGAATGTCAAAGTAATTTTCCTTTTTCCGGACCCCTCGAAGCACGGGCACCACTCTAGGGGGACCACAAACCCCCTCAGAGTTATTGAGTCCATTGTTGACTGTTAGCTATTCTATACCCATCTAGTAAAAGAAGTCTGTCATTTTACTTTTTACCCACTCCCAGATGTTTCCCCTCTGCTTTCTCCCGCCTCCCTAACCTATCACCAATGGATTTCTTGTAACCTACATATGTCTCCTCTTTTGACCGTAATATATAAAATAAGGTGCAAAACTGCCATTCTCCAGAGCATTACTCTCAATCCCTTGACATTTTGCTTCCCGGCAATTGTCAACAGTTTGGCTCAAATAAACTCACAAAAATTCTCTATGGGTTTGAATGTTTCTGACGTTGACAATAGCATTGCTCATGTAACATTCTTACCAAAAGTGGGCCACCTACATCTATCCGCGTCCTTATTCAAATTGCAGTTCATAGGGAGAAAAAGAGATAAGGGAACAATTACACGACTCCTTGAGGAAGCAATGAGACAATGAGATGGAACATTCTACCAGGCAGTTAATCTGGCTTCTTCAATAAATGATGGGAAATAAAAGGGAAGGCTAGGAATTTTCTACCAAAAGAGACTTAAGAGACACGCTAACCACTGCCACGTGTGGCTCCTGTTCCTATTCCAGTTCAAAGGCACCGAGGGCACAGGCGTCTTTTCAGGATAAGCACAGAAATTTAAGATAAATAAAGTAGCTCATTATGGTGTGTGTGGTAATAGTTTTGTGATTATGTATGAAAGGGTCCTTATATAAGAAAATGTCCTCCCCCCGCCCCCCCCGCCAGATGCATACTAAACTACTTTGGGGTAAAAATATCACGATGTCTATCATTTTATATCACGACACTTCAGGGATTAAAAGTACAAATTAGCAGTTACAAAATAGTCACAGGAAGTTAAATCACAGCACAGGGAATATAGTCAATAATACTGTAATAACTATAGATGGTGCCAGGTGGGTACTCGACTTTTCAGGGGGATCCCTTCGTAAGGTATGTAAATGCTGCACACCTGAAACTGATATAATATTAAATGTCAACTCTAATTGAAAATTTTTAGCCCAGCCGGCATGGCTCAGTGGTTGAGCATCGACCTATGAAGCAGGAGGTCATGGTTCGATTCGCGGTCAGGGTACGTGCCTGGGTTGCGTGCTCGACCCCCAGTAGGAAGCAACCAATCAGTGATTCTCATCATTGATGTTTCTATCTCTCTCTCCCTCTCCCTTCCTCTCTGAAGTCAATTGAAAAAATATTTTTTCAAATAAAAATTTTAAATGAAAATAGAAAAATATATGTAAATCAAGTAAGGCCAAATATTAATAACTGTTAAATCTAAGTGGGTATATGGAAATTCATTACGTTATTCTCTTGACTTTCCTGTATGGTTAATTTTCTTCATAATAAAGAAAGGCTTGAGAACACCCCTATTCCTCTCCAATCCTATTGCATCTCACTGGATGGCTTCCCTGTCCATCTAGCTGCTGAAAACAAAATCCTCAGTGTCATCCTGGACGACTCGTTTCCTCACGACCCAGCTCTGAACTGTCTGCACACTCCCTGACCCTGAGATTTATTGAGCGTCTACTATGCGCCAGGCATTGACATCTGCCAAGGGCAGCCTGGCTTCCTAGAGAAAGAACAACTGCTCAGGACCAGAAGCCTGCGGTCACTGGTCCCATCAGTTCATTCACAGTCTGCCTTCTCCCTCCCCTGACCCTCTGACCCACCTCCTCTCTCCTTCTCCCCTTCCCGGCCTCTATCCTGCCTGGGACATGCCAGCTATGCTCCCCCGCTTCCAGGGCAGAGCTTTGCCTTAGCTGTGCCATCTTTTCCACTCGTTCCCAGGTTTCTGCATGGCTCGCACTCTCATCTCCTTCAAGTCATGGACACCACTTCTACGAGTCTTGCAACGTCCAATTGTTTGACATTGCAGCATCTCTTACCCCTTTCTCTGCTTTCCTTCTTCCTCGGAAGCACTTTCTAGCATGCTATGTAGTTTACTTACGCACTGTGTTCATCCTTTTTCTCCCCCCAACTAGAGGGCAAGCTTCATGAGGCCAGGGACTTGGCTATTGCTGTCACTGCTGCACCCCGGGCCAACAGTGCCTGGGATACAGTAAATGCTCAATGAATATATGATGCATGAATCCTTACTCTCCCTCATTATATAGATACTAGAGGCCCGATGCATGAAAATTGTGCAAGAGTAGGCCTTCCTTCCCCTCTCTGGCACCGGGGATCCCCTGCGGCCGCTGGCAGGCACCCGGGACCCGGGCTTCCCTCGCAGCCCTGACTTCGCCCGGAAGGATGTCTGGAAGGACGTCTAGTCTAATTAGCATATTACACTTTTATTATTATAGATACCTACCAAGGTTCAGAGAGGAGAAGGCCGTGTCCAGGCTCACACAGCAAGTGCATGGCAGGGCCGTTTCACGGCCCCTCCTCACCCAGGAGCCTCCCGTTCCCCCAGAGAGTCAGACAGACCCAGTCTTTACCTTCCTGGGTAAGGGTCACCCCCTTGGACTCTCGTCCACCTCGTCCCTACCTAAAAGGGAGGACTGAACGAACTGAACAAGGTAACGCAAGGGGAACCTGAGCCCGCTGCTGCCCTCCCCGGCCCGGCCCACCTTGACCTGGGCGTAGAAGCTGCCCAGGCTGCAGCAGACGCGGCACTCGAGCATGGTGTCGTCGTTGTTGTGGGCGTAGCGCAGGGCCTTCTCGAAGCTCTCCAGGGCCTTCTGGAAGAGGCTGAGGCCCAGGAAGGCGTTGCCCATGCTCAGGCTGACCTGGCCTCCGAGCTGGGCGCCCGCCCGGGTGCCAGGCAGGCCGAGGCAGGTCTTGCAGTAGGAGATGGTCTTGTGAAACTCGCACAGCTTCTCGTTGCTGCGTGCCAGGTTCAGGTAGCTCTCCAGGAGGAAGTTGGCATCCTCCAGCGACCGCGCGGTGTCGATCTGCACCACAGCGAACTGCCACGGGGCGGGTGGGAACTGGCC